AAGGATTAATTGATTCCACTTTCTTACCGTTAGTTTAAAATGTGTTGCAATTATGCTTTCTTTATACACACACACACACACACACACACACACACACACACACACACACACACACACCAGAAAGATGCAATGATCTGGGAAACATTAAAAGCCTATATTCAAGATTATAAAAGTACAAATACTATCTATCAAATGATGAAATTGCATTTTTATCATGGAAGCAGTATAAACAAACAATAAACTCAGTGGGAAACTTGGGATGGGAAACAACAGGTCAGTGAGTTGACTGAGTATCACAATAGCATCCAAAGAATTTTTTTTTTTTTTTGGTCCAGGAATTGTAGAATAACAAGAGAGTAATAGTAGAAATGTCTTCAAGGGGCAAAACTACAACACCATTGAAAAGCCATGATCTTCCAGCCATTGGACAGCCCTGCAATAAAACCAGGCATGGTCCTGTAGTGGAAATCACCACAAAGGCTCACATAGGAACACTTCTTACTATGAGTGAATACAGTTGTACTGCGCTTCACTGATGGATATTAAAATGCTGCCATGCAAAGAAAAAAAGACCCAGCCTTCTCTGGGCCAAAGCTCACATGAAATGGACTGAGGCAAAGCGGAAAACTTTCCTGTGGTCTATGCAATCAAAATTTGAACTTCTCTTTGGAAATCATGGAAATTATGTCCTCTGGGTTTAAGAGGAGAGAGAGCATCAGCATAGAGTTCAGCAAAAATGCTTCAGTGCACATCTGTGAAGGCCCCATTAATACTGACCGATGATATACAGGTTTTAGAGCAACAAATGCTGCTGCTGAGATTTTTTTTTTTTAAATTGGGTTTTCGGGAAGGGATCTGATATGATTGCTAAATTTATCAATTTTATTCATCATTCTGAGGAAAGAACAGGGAGAGGTTCTTTAATGTGTAACATCTGGATCAGCTTAAACATAGGTGCAGCAGCCTGAACTCTCTTAGGCAAACGTTCTTGTCATTTCTTTAAGTAGACTTCAGGAATAGTTCTTGAATTCTTGAAGGGCATTCAAAGGTCTTGTTTGCATGTTGGGTGTTTTTAGTTCCGTCCTTTGTCAAGATGATCCCACACTGGTGCAGTAATGTTGATGTCCGGGCTCTGGGGAGGCCAATCCACGACTGATACTGTTACGCTGTGTGTTTTTCTATACAGGTAATATTTTACTGCACTGGCAGTGTGTGTGGACCATGGTATTACATCGTGGTTCAAAATCTGACTGTACCTTCCTGTGTGTACAGTTTCATAAATTTCAACAAAATCCCAATAGCCACTGACTGAAATGCAGCTCCAAACCTCCATTATATTTTACTGATGGCTGCAGCCTAGTTCTTGTGTAATTTGGCATACTTCAGCTTTTCCCTTCCTTAAGAATGGCTTCTTGACAGCGACATTTCCTCTGAGACTATTTTTAATGAGGTCAGTGACCTGTGGATGGATCAACTGAAGGTCCAGATGCATCTGGATCTTCAGGTTTTTTTTCCTGTTTCTTAAGGACATGACTTTCAGATACTTTTTATCTGCTCTAGATAGTGTTTTAGACCCACCATTTCTTCTTTTATTCTCCACTTTTCCAGTTTCCTCAGATGTTTTAAAGACACACTGCACACCATGCCAAGATATGCCAAGTTTCTGATATAGAACTCTATGGAAATCACGTTGTTGCTGTAAAAATGCTATTCTACTTATACCTGTCAGAATGTGCTATCTTTGGCATTTTTACATAGATTCAACTAATGAAATGGTAACAAATGATGTGTTTGTGCAACAGATTGTGACAAAGTGCCTAAAGCTGCATGTTAAAATTAGTTCTTTGCGAAGTTGTCTTTTATGTGTAGACTCAACACTGGTTAATCCCTTAAAATAAGTTTCTTTTTTTCTTTTTTGCTTAAATAATTCATAGGTCAGCGTTAAGTGGCTGAGCAAACAAAAAAATATTCCTCTGAAAGTGATCAGGTTCAGGGACTGAACTAAAAATTTGAAAAAAATCATTGAATAACCTTCAGAAAGCCCGGAGAACTACTGCTAAAGACCACTTTGAAAAATTGCACTAGTTTTGACCTTTTCCTTCTGTGAGATGTCAGAGGTACAGAGAGAAGCAGACTGGTCAACTCATCTGAGTTTGCATTTAAATGAAAATAACTGAAAACTTTTGCAAGCATGCAAAGAAAAGCTGTTGGCGTAGCATCCATAACAGACTCTTTAGCTGTTGGCTTTCTCTGTATAATCTAAGTTGTTCACTGTGCTGCAAACCCTGAATAATATAGAACTGAATTCAAAAGATCAACCTGATACTTTGGCCTATTTTCACCAATACTCAGTCTAGCTTTAAGAGTCAGGATTGGATTTATCTCCAGTCCACGTATGGAATCAAAGCATCCCTATTTACTAAAGCAAGACGATACCATATCACATTCTGTACTGATGTAACACTAGTAGAGCTTTAATAGTAAAAGAATCCAGGTGCCAAACATCATTTTAGATCCATTCACACCAATTGGCACAAAGTGAATCAGAAATATGGAGGCCCCGAACTTGTTGATCAACCTAAATCCTGTTGAGCAAAAAATTATTTAGCCCTTTGATTTCAAAACCAGAGCTGTCTGTGTCCTGAGTTACCAAATGCTTTCAATTGTTACTGTGTTGTTAACAGAAGGCATGATGCAACACGGAGGGGAGTTTACTCCTGCCCAAACTGTTTTGAAACCTACTGCTGGCATTAAAAAATCAAAATGAGCGCATATTTTCCAGAAAACACACCAGAGCTCTCACTTTAAACAAAATACTGTGTATGCCGTCATAAATTGTATATGGAGCATTTTCAATTAAATATATAATTTATTATTTTAATTTATTGAAAAGGCTATCAGCATTCTTGATTTTATTATTCAATCTTATTTTGCAGTTATACTGGCTTCTTCATCTTCTTAAAAAAAGCGTTACCCTGACACTGGCTCACAGCCACTGGAAAATGGAAAAAGGATACAGTTGAAAAGTCACCTCCCCTTCACAGTCCTTTCATAATTCTGGATGTCAAAACATTTAACATCCTGAAAATAAGTGTTGACATCTTCCGTTCAAGGATGTTTTATGCTCAGAACGTTTGTTACACAGGAGTTCTAATAGAATAATTTCTTTAAGCCTATAATTCACCTCAATTTGTTCATCATATTTAGTTGAGCTCTAAATAATTAACAGTTAATTACAACTTATGTGACTTGGACAGTCCCCTTGGTGGACGTGTCTGTTTTGCTCTGAGTAAAAGCATGAAATGTGCATGGTTGATTTCCTCCAGAGAGAAATTTGTTCGGTGGTTTTTATTGTTATGACTACATTAACTCCAACATTGACGTGAAACGGCTAGTGGTGGTGATGGTGGGGGGACAGGAAACAAAAAAGTTTTTCAATTGAAAACACAAGGACACTGACTTTTACAGATGTGAAACAACAATGGACGCCAAGTTTGAAGGTTCAGGTTTGAAGGTTCAGGAAATGTGGTTCTTTTTGTGCTGAGCGAGCGCTATGTCAGCTCAAGGTTTTCCATGTTGGTTGAGGAGTTGGGGCCACCCTTACTGAAGGTTTTCCATAGTGGTGAGTCCTCAGACATACCCGGCATCCAGAGAGTCTGTCGTCTGTGTTTATGGAGACGATGAAACACCATCCTGTGTTTTACCACGATTAGGTTAATTGACAAAGCAGATTTAAACTGGTTATAAGATGTAATTGCTCTAAAAAATGGTGTTAATCTAACTGGGAAGACTGGACTTGGTACAGAGTAAAATTTACTGTCCCATCCGTCTTTACTAAGTACATAGCTTATAAGCGTTTCAGTCACTGGGATGAATGCCTTCCTTTGTCCCATCCACAGCCTCTTTGTTATGAAGGAGAAAGCTTTTTAACTTTTGACTCATAAGCCAGATATAGCAGCCAGCGTTTGTCAGTTTAATGTTGAACAAGTGTCTTGGCTGCTGTCACATATTCATATATCTTTACTTTGGCAGCCCAAAAATGCTAAGATGGTAAATTTTGAAGTGAGGCAATTTAAACCGCAAGTGGCAAAGATTTACTCCGTAATAATCGGTCTCAATAGACAATCTTCGATGATCTTTGAAGCTGTCAGTCAGAGGAATTTAGTTTAAATTGATTTGAAATGCTCTCCGTTCTGTCCAGACCCTTTTCAGCTACAATTTGATCTCAAATATGACATTAATGGAGTTTGGTTCATGTCAGTGTTGAGTCGTTTTTGCTTTGATTTCCAGAAATCTCATTGACACATAGCGAGCTAAAGGTTGTTTCTGCTGTCAGAGTAAAGGGGCTGCTGGATGCATTAATTTTACGAGCCTGTCACATTGCATTAGTCATATTTGGTACGCTAACTCTTTGTCCTATGCAAATTCTTTCTCGACAGTGTTTGAAGCATCTTGTTTTTAAGCTTTTTAATGATGTTATGTAAGCTGCTGAGTTGTTTTGGAGCAAATTAAAGCAGAACAGAATGTGGTTATTGCAGTAAAAGACATCATAAAAGCAAATTTGTGAAAAGCACTGTATGCTGCAAGGTAGCAATTATGATGAACATAAAATACTGGCACGGTGAGCACAGGACTCAGAAGAAGTTTAAAAGAGCAATACTCCACTTATAAGTCAGTTATTGGGGTAATTTGATTAGAAACCTTTTACGTAGATGAACATTTATCCGCAGTAAAAACACAAAGTATTTTACACAGTTATTCTAATGAATATTGCTCAGATTATTAGGTTATATCTTATAAGCCACATTCTTAATGCTTCAGTATAATAAGAAACATCTGATGATTATACACTATGAGATGGTTAAGCTTTTAGAAGTGTCTTAATCATACAAAGTTGCATTAAAAAGGAAAAAACCTTGTCTAGTTGACTGTACATTATGACTACTGAGTGCCTACTCGCTGACGTTACTGACCCACGAGGCACAAATAACAAAAACGTGCACAAGCTGTACATATTTTATTGCAATTACAAGTGTCATGACAATTTTTAATACATTATTTTACAAATTTCTTATGTACAAACGCAATTTGTTGGATCTGCTGACATCAACAAACCACGAGATTTATACAGTAAATACAGTGCTTGATTTATACAAGCAAATTTTATGATACCTGCTCAAGCTATTCAAGATTTCAAAATGAATATAAAAAAAACGTTGATCTTAAAAAAAGTTCCATAAAATACTGTCAATCAGGTTTTTGTACTCGCTAACAGTTTAAGGTTTAAAAAAAAAAACAAGACAGAGACAGAGAGAGAAGAGGAAAAGAGGAGATGTCGCCGGGTACATGAACTGTGCAGTTTTTCAAATTGGAAAAGAAAAAAAAACTGGCCAAAAAAAAAATCAAGGCTCTATTACAAGTTAATAAATCTAACTGGTTCTACAAATTGCACTTTTGAAAAATGAATGAAATTTTTTTAAAAAATCACTGGATACATTTCCTGTGTCAACTCTATATATTGTAGGGTCCCTAACTTAAAGCTACTCCCTCACATCCTAAAGGGTCACCTAAGGTTCCTGTCTCTATAATAACTTCTGAGCAATGAGCACGCCTTCATTTGTCTCATATTTTACACTGAGAATGTACACACCTCAGAAAAAGCAGGGAGCAAATGTGTAAAGTTGTCATGGAGATGAGTATTGCCCTAATGTTTGATATTGCACTTTTATCTCAATTTACCTTGACCTGGTTCTAGGTCCCCCCCCAAAAAAAAAGAAAAAAAAAAGAATAATAATGGCCTGTAAATAGTTTGTTTAGGGAGGCATACAGTATAGTATATGTTCCTCGGATGCTCAGTGGAAGGTGTTGGGGTTTGGACGGATCATCATGACTACTTTCTTTAATGAGTAAGCTCCTCCTCTGAACTCTGCCCAGTAGACTCCATCTTGGTAGCGGCTGCGGTAGTGTCCTCCTCTGTACCAAACTCCATTCAGATTAGAATGGGCACAAGAGTTGTACCACCAGCCTCCCTTCTGGTAATGGGCACAATTTCCTTAAAAACGTGGAAAATAAATGAGAAACAGTCAAGCTATGCTCATAAACATGGAGAAATTATTGGAGCTAATCTGCCGGAACGTCACCCAGATTTTTACCTGTATACACATCGTGGTCTCTGTCCAGTGTTGTGAACTGTTTGCCGTTGTGCCAGGTCAGCGAGTCTCCAGCATTTCCATGGTAGCGGCCTACCCTCAGCTTGTAGAAATCAGCTTCAGACTCCACCCTGAAGCTGGCATACTCCGCAAACACCTTTCTGCCAGACCAGTCCTCCAGTGTGACCAGCAGTTTGTAGTTTCCCTGGTTAGTCAGCCAGTAGATGTTCTCTAGACCCAGCCAGTACTCGCCGTCAATATTGCCAAAACCTTGCTGTGAAGTGCAGTGTTAAGAAAAAAAAACATTATCAGTACAATTAGTAAATCCCTTCTGAATGTTGTTTGAAAAGCTTTGAATGGTTAGATTGGACGGCCGGGGGATGATTCAGGGTCGTTGCTCCTGCTCTGGTTATAATTGTGAATTTTATCTCTCTTTTCTTTTTTTCTTTTTTTTTGTGGTTGTTTATCGTCAAGGAACATTATCATAAATGGACCCTTTGAGTCGAATTTATAGCTTCAGTCGGTTTTCCAGATTTCCACTGTTATGTTGTTATTGAGAATGCAGCAGGATACAGTGCATTTAGTGTGAAAGCCAACATACTTGATCCTGGCGCGCCACTATTTTCTGGCTCTGGTCATATTATAAGTTGGTTTGTGGTGTTTCAAATTGTGGAAACACTTCTTTTGATGAGTGCACAAAGGCAATTTGAGATCTTGTGTGGTTTAGAGGTCTTTTTGCAAAAAAGTTTCTTTTGTTCCTCTGAGCTAAGATTTAATCAGGAGTCACAGCCTATAAATGTTTACCTATGAACTCCATCTTCCACTGTAAGAGGTTTCCCATTCAAGAGATAGAGGAAATTAGTTCCCCTGGGTAAGTGGTAATGTTCTCCACAGCCCTCCATAGCCATTTATCTGGTAGTTCTGGTGTAATATTCAAAAAGTATTTTTCCAGAATGTCAGTAATGATAATACAACACACTAACATGACTTCCAAATGCAATCCAATAGTTTTGTATGTGTGAATTTGTCTCAGAAGACCACTGAGACAAATACCTCATTGCTGAAGTTATTGAGGTATTAGGCTATGACGTATGCAGGGGCAATCAGACTATATTAGACACGTGGAAAGCTTAACAGTCACCTATTCATTGGTCACTGACATCTGGTTAGTGTCAAAACACCCTACATAAGTAACCAGCTTCCCTCCAGACCATGAAGTCCTTGATCTGGTGTGAAGTTGCCGCACCTTGTACGTCTCCCAGTTCCTGAAAAAGTTGACAGAGCCGTCCACCCTCCTCTGAATCACAGTCCAGCCGCCTGGGTCGTGCCTCTGGTCACACCACACTTGCATAAGTCGGTTGGCATTCTCTGGCTTCACCAGGTACATGCCACTGGTTGCGTGTCCGTCTTCTAGAGCCTGCAGACAGTCTCTAAACGGGCCTAGACAGAAAGATTAAAGCATAATGTGTACACAGCATGTAAAACACACTCAGTTGCAAGTCTTTGCTCAAAGGTTGAGAGTCAGAAAAAGAGAAAAACTCAGAGTGACACAAAGAGTTACTGTACTTTACCACAGGGAATCCCAGTTTTCTGCACAGGCGCTCATTTTAACAGTAGAATTGACTTTGGCTTCTACTATCACAAGGGAAATGGCTGCTGATTGCGCAGCCAAAAGAAACACTGGCATGAGGGCAAAGGGAATCCTGACTACTGAATGATGAAACAATAGCAAAAACGTTTCAGTCATGTATAACACGTTAGAGTTCCGTGTGTGTTTATATTACCAAGATGTTAATGTTATTGCAGAGGGGAAAGAAACTGCACAGAACAGCCTGAGCAGCATCAAAACTGCATTATTTTTCAGCAGCTGTATCTACCCTAATTTGAACATGTGCCTGTATTTCTTCCAAGCATAGCAAATATGGTAAAAACACTCATCTGCAAAAATGTTAAAATGTATTTAAGTTCTCAAGATTGCATGCTTGAGTGGTTTGCTAACTGGCCCGTGTTACAGTTTTTAAATGCAAAAAGAAAGACAATTATGGGCCGCACGGAGCATTGGAGTTTGAGGATGAGGTCCATCAGTGTTTTACACGAGGAAAAAAAGCAAGCATATGAAAGAAAGAAGCAAAGAACGTGTTGTTATACACATGTTTCTGGTTTCAAGAAATCACTGTGGATGATATCTGTTTCATAGTCCACTCTTAGCCACCCATTTACTCTCAGGAATGTCTGTGTTGGGCCGATACAAGCCAGAAAGTTGCCCTGCCCTGCCCTTGCTCTGTTCTGCCTGATAAAGTCTGCTTCTTCGGTGGAACATATGACCGAGTCTTGCCTGGTTCAGCTGGAACAAATGACATCATTGACTCAGGGTATCTCTTTCTGTTTGTAGTTACACCCTCCCTTTTTTGTTAGACTTCATCCTCATGTTTTCTGTTTGCCTTTCAAATCCCTGTCTTCCTCTCTTTACTTCTTCGTGGTGTGTAGCTTTCTGTTACAGTTTTGAATAACTTTTTGGGGTGTTAGTTGCATGACCGTGGGCAGGAAATTACTTGCCTCCTTTCAAAAATTCATACAAAGGCTACTGTTCACATGCAGCCTGGTGAAAAGTGGCATGCAGTGGCACGAAATGTCAACGGAAAATGCTCCCACTGGAAATGCTGGGAATAGTCCGCTGTTTTTCCACCAAAACGAAAGTCTTTTAATAAAAAGGAGTGGCGGTGTACTATTCACTGCAACTGATCCCATCAAATACCCTTCGCATCAATTCTTAAATCTGCACGCACATGTTCAAAAAGACAATGGGCTTAGGGCCAGGTATCCATTTAGGCGCACACAGTTAGCCATGCTTGTGTTTTTATGCGGGTTAAATCGTGGCAATTTGATGATATGCATCTGAAAAGGCAGAAGACAACAGCGTTTCTGTTCTCACGGCCAGCTCTCTCCTCTAGGAATGTGTGGGATAAATTTAAATTTGCTGTGACTACGAAGAATGGGTGTTAATGATTAAGAGGTTCACTCACAAACACGGTCTTTGTTTTGCGAATGCTGTTTGTCATGGCAGCTGGTTTGTTTTGGTACCAATGCATCAAATACAAATGTTTTCTGTTGGACTGTTAGACTCACCAGAGGGCTTGTCAGTGGTAGATGGACTGTGCGTACCAGTGGGCATTGTTGGAAGAACTGGTGGAAGAGACTTTTGGTCACTCTGGATTTCATTGCTGATTGGGTTGTTGATGCGTGGGATTACAGGCGGCTGGTAGGGCTTGTTAATAGGGGGTGAGGGTTGTGGTGGAGGCTGAGGCCGCGGCTGGGGCTGGGGCACGGGAACATGGCGAGGAGGAGGTCGACTCCGGCACTGCTCCTCCAACACGGCAATGAGAGCCGACTGGTTGGTGGCTAAAGAAGCCAAGTGCTGGTATTTGTGCTCGAGATCTTTGTACCGACTGGTGAGCTGTTGCATCTCAGAGGTTTGGTTGAGGATCTTGTTCTCCATCTGTGCCAGTTCTAGCGCATTGTCTCTCTTCCTGATGATCTCATGGAGCAGCTGCATGTACAGCTGAGTGACCCTGGAGTTCATGTTTCGACTCTCTTTCCTCAGAAGCTTGACCTCGTTGACGATGCCCCCATCCACCTCGACCAACTGCTGCAGGGTCTCGATCTGCCTCTTCTGCTTCTGTAGTTCCACATTAAGCAGCTCTAACTCTTGTTTGTTGACCCGGTTCTCCAGCATGGCCTCTGGCTCCTTGGAGTTGACACAGATGGCTCCAGTCACTTTTTGTTGAGGTACAATGAAAGTGTAGGAACATTTGTCCTGCTGCTGGTCAGCTGGAGCACGTTTGCTCCTTCCTGCATAGATAAAATCTCTTTCCAGACCCTCCTCGCTGCTCTCAAATTCTTGGGTACTGCCCCTGCCACGGCTGCCGTCTGAGCGACTCCCCAACGTCTGCTGGACTCCACAGGCTAGTCCATAAACTAGAAGGAGCCCTAGCAGGACCACTGAAGGGGGCTCCATGAGTTAGTGTCCAACTCTAAAGAATGCAAGTAAGAAAATGGAAAACATGGAGATGTTTAGGGGGAAACTATCAACTGTTAAGCAGAAGACACAGCTATGCTCAATCTGTTACTTCTACATTTAAAAGCACAAATAGGAATAAACTAAAACCTTATTTTGTTGCAATATCAAGAGAATCTTGATGTTAACATAGGTCTATTACCAGAAAAAGCTTGCTCATCAAGATACACTGGTTTTGTCTTCATTAACCACAAGAAACAAACAGGTACAGAAGCAGCATGCATACACATGTCAGTGTAGGCTGGGCAGAAGTTGGCAAAGATACAGTCAACTGAAAGAAAATGGCTCACTTGCCCTGCTGAGTGTCACAGATGCATTATATTCATGCGTAATCCATAAATCTGAGTGTCTCAGTGTCTTTGCTGTTCATATCACTGCTGGTGTGAGCAGACACTGTTGCTTTGCCTCTGGCTTTAAGTGTAATTTACGAAATGTGCTGAGCCTGTTTTTTTAAAATTGAAGTCCGAGCTTCAAAAGCAATACATGCACACGTGGTTTGATAGTTACTAATACACCTCATTGCCCCGAACAGTGATGTGCTGATCACTTTGGTTTATTAAGTCGCTGGTAGGAGCATGCGCTTAGCTTAATTTGTCGTTCTGGCGTCGGCTCCGCTTGAGCGACTGCCACCACTTGTCCCTTACGCACTCCAACATGCATCTGTTCCACTCTGCAGGCCTGGACATCTTAACTCATGGAAAATTTGAGACACCACCAGATGATGCTATTCAAAGCTCTGTTTAAAGTATTGAGCATGTTGCATCAGTTCTGTGTATATATAGCTCCTACCAAAACTGGGAAATTGGTTGCATTCAGACGATTAATCATAAGTCATGAAGGAAATTCATCTTAATTTGCAGACTTTAAACGCGTCTGTTTCTGCTTTGACCGCGAGACTGAAAGCTTACCCTAGCATTCAGCATGAATATGAATGAATAAAGGCAGCTAATATTATCCTCATCTTTGCTTGATTGAATCTGAGATAAAGTTCAGTTTAAAATCTCTTTAAAATCATATTTCCTGTGTGTAATTAAGCATTTCCTCAAGGGTTCAGGAGAATTAAAATATGAGCTATTCCCCTAGAATTCATTTATATTATTAGTAAAATAAGTTTTCAGAGTTTTTGAAGATCTGGAGGAATGTGCTACTGGTTGTTGAGGTAAATGTAACTCCTGCATAAGGATAACAAGGCCTGTAACTCCTTGGGCAGCATAATTGAAAGCTGCTGCATATTGGATTACAGAGGGGTCCTGTTTAACACCTCCTTGGAGTCAAAGTGGGCCGGCCTAATCATAAAGCATTACAGAGAAACCTAAATTGGCTGTGTAATGATTGCCTGCCTTCAGGACTTCCATTTGTTATTGCTTATCTTTGTGTAAAAGACCATCTACCATATAACGGTGAGCACAAAATTGGGAAGAGAGCAGAAATGTTTTTGTCTTGTTAATCCGGGCGTGTAGCCAGCACATTAGATTGGAGACTTGGAGAAGAGAAATGCAGCACTGTCCAAGATCATGACCCTTGGCACATTTGACTCTTCTGGCTTTATCTGTCTAGAATCAAATGTGTAAACACTTTCTTCCTGGGGGAAAAAAAAGTAATAGAAATGATCTTCTGCACAGTTCATGCTAGTCTTATGTAACCTGTGTTTTTGATGTCATCGTTTACTCAGCCAGAACATTTTCTTTTTAAATTACAGTACAAAAGAGCACAAGGTCTCAGAGGTACTTTGGTAATACAATACTTTAAAGCACTCGTCACCTATGCAAAAAAAAAAAAAAAAAAAAAATAAGTGCACAGTTTCTTCTTTAGATAAAGCACGAAACTCTTCTGTCTTTCAGAAAAGCTAATCCATCTGACAAAGCCCGGCTCAGTGAGGGCATCTCTGCTATTACTGATTGACGCCGAAATTGTAGTGTCAAAATATTTTTCACACTATGCAAAGACATTCTTCTAATCAAGTCTGACAAATATAGTCTTAAAGTCTTACAGATCAAACCCTGAAGAAGTGACTAATAATAGCTTACAAGTAAGCCCGCGGCATGATAATAGAGCAGCTCAGGGCCTGTCCTGCAATGTGCTGATGACTGTATTTGTCCACGGCTCCTGCGGTTTCTCCCCCCCGGAACATGAGCTCTGTCTCAGAGAAATGCCGTGTGATTTGCCCCTGCTGTGGAGGACTCCCATTTTGGACGTAGTTAGCCTGGAATCTCCTGCTCTAGGCTTCTCTACACTTCAAAGCTGAGGGGAAAATGTTTGCAGCTTGCTGTGAAACGTGTGTTCGCAAGTGTGATGCAGTCTGTGCATGTCTATGAATGTTTTTCCCCCTGTTAATGTGTTTCTAATAACAACACTTGCTGGCGTTCAGTATCCTGGGGACAATAGCCAGTCTCATCTGCCCCAGCAGAGGCAGCATGTTATTACCTTATCCATAGTCTGCCAGGGGGATCAGCGGAAAAGCCTTTACCTCCTTATTTCCTGTTAAAACCCCGTGGACTTTATAGTCCTAAGATCAGTCCACCTAAACAAACTGCTACTGACCACCAAACGCTGCAATTATTGAGTGGTCCTTAAAAGTGCCATATCCATACATACTCTGCTCTAGGCCTGAAGGCATATGATCGAATGAAATGAGTGAGCCTTCTTGTTGCAGTATGATTGGCAGCTCCTCTTAGGTAATTTTTTCGAGTCTGCTTCACACCAACATGTTTTGGTTTCACTGTTTTCAGGTGGTAAGTCTGTGTTTACACGACTCCTCTTTCTGGATTTTGCTCCGTGTTAAATTAAGTGTGATGGGTGGGTGAAGGGGGCGAGGTCACTGTGTCTCTGACCAGCGCCATGGTCATGCTCAGCACATATTAATTAGAAGGTGGGCTGCCTTGCTCCGGCTGGTCCGTGCCTCTCACCCCAGCCCCTCTCATTTCAGACTGAGCATGGCATTCCAAACATTCTTCGTCACCTCATTAGAGCGAGCCGCCATACTCACACCGAGAGTCAGTGGCAGTGGCGGAACCGAGAGCGCCGGACCCTGTAGATGGAGGACCACTACTACGCCCCCACCCCCCGCCCCTCGTCATCTACCTGTAAGATGCTCCATAGCTGCTGACCCACTTCATTCATTGTCCTACTTTCTGTGTGAATGCATCACAATCACACCATCATCACCCTCAACAGGAGATCACAACATGGCTACACAGCATCTCATTTGCCAGTTGCCAAAAAAGAAGCGGACACTTTGCCGCGTGGCTTTGTGCTGCATGTTCAAATTAGCGCCACCGCTGCTGAGAACTGGCAGTCTCCTGCATGACACCCAATAAGTGTTGGATCAGAGTCAAATTCAATCTGCTCATGGTAATCTGCACTATTGCTTTACCTTGAGGCGAACCTCATTCTTTCCTCAAGCATGTAATCCTTATGAGCGTGTAACATGTCATTTGAGGCATGATTAACCCCAGTTACCAGCTTGGTAACTGGGGTTATTTTTGTAATTTCCACTGTCTATTGAAAAGCGGAGATAAAGTTGTTTTTTTTTGAATGTAGGTTTTGTTCCACTCAATGCTCTTTTTTTTCCTCTCTTGTGATTTCAGACGGGGAGGCAGGGGGTCTTGGGAATTGTTTCGATAAGTTCCAGCATTCTACCTCAAAGCCCCCTTATCCAAACACCACCCTGGCAACAGAAACAAAGACTAGATTCAACCGCCTGCTTCCCTGTCCTCTTGAGTCCAGGGGAACATCCTGAAGCTGCAGTGTGCTTAACATAGTAAAGTTGTCCCTTTTTTTCTCCCCCCTCTTTATAAATGAGCAGTTATTTATAGATAATAAAAAGAAGTCTTGTGTCCGGCACCATCATAAAGAGCTCTTCATACATATAACACGTACAGGGCATGTCCCTTCATTTTAAACTTTAAGAGCTCTGTGTTTTGAAAACACAGAGGTTTTTTTTTCCTAATGAGTAATAAAGAGGCACTTCACTATAGAGGCTCACTCACCAGCATCCCCCTGTGCTGAATTAACCTCCCCTTGGCCAAATCTGTCATAGTCAGCATCAGTCCAGTTAGTCACCATAAAGCATAATTACCTTTTGGCTACAAGCAGTGAGTCAGATGACGGATGCTGCATGATGACTGCTGAATTCAGGATTAGGCAGAAATCATTAAACCAAGTACAGAAGTCTGACTTCAGCCTGCTGTTGCAAAGTGAGCTTAACCACACTACTAGAACTAGTTATTGAGACCGAGTCTACTCACAACTCGCTACCTCAAGATACTAAAAACGAGTAAAGTCATTTTTGAATGAATGCAACACCCTGTTGAAATAAACCAGATCATAAGGTAACTGCAGATTCATGACAAGGTTACATCATGCTTACGAGATAATTGCACTATACTGGTGAGGCTCCTTCAGTTCCTTTGCCCTCCTGCCAGACTTGTCTGAAGTTTCTTATGGTTGAACGTCATCCCAAGGGTGAAACCTGCACCCCCGCGTAGTCCTCTCTGCGCTCTGGCTGTCTATAGTTACTCAGCCTTTTCTCACCTTAGTCCACTCCACCGGTGAAAAGGTGGCGTTTCAAAGCCTATTGTTGTAATTGTTAAAAAAAGAAACTGTCAGTAGCCAAACAGAACGTCAAGTTGAAACTAATCTTCAAACATTAAGGAGATTGCTCCCAGATCCACTTTAACAAAAAAAAAAAAGTTGTGAAGAGAAAAAAGGGACAGCTGGTAACGTCAGCCAGGTGGCAGAGGTAGTTTCCTGATCAACAGTGAGAGTCTGAGGCAGGTTGTGTGCTGCCCGCGGCCCGTTAGGAGAGGACTGTCACTTTCCTGTGGGCTGAATCCATCACTTCTGTCTCACAGCTCTAAGAGGCTGTCTCTCTCCACTGCACCTCTCTCTCTCTCACCCACCCGCTCTCTCTCTCTCTCTCTCTCTCTCTCTCTCTCTCTCTCTCTCTCCTCTGTGCTTTTAAATGATGAAAAATCTTGTAGTAGTTTCAGTAGTCAGAGCCCCGCACCCCCACCCTCCACACACACACACACACACTTAAATGAACACATTCTTTTTTTAAAGCAAAAGCCTTCTGTCTTCTACCCCTCCCCCCATGGCACAGAAGAGATTCACAATCACGCACAACACAAGCTACACACTCACACACACTCTACTCAGATTTCCAACCCCTGCCCCCTGGCTACTGGTTCACCACCACCACTACCACCACCACTATTTCTGGCTTGGATTGCACGGTTCTCCTGGTGTTGGACAGCAGGGACGTCAGACTGATCACATCCTAACTGTGCGTGAATGAGCGCCCGTCCTGAGAAACAGCCTGACGGATGGGAAGCAGATCCAGGTGTTTGACTAAAGCCAGGTCTGCTTCACATCGTGGACATGACGTGTTTGAAGCAGGCTGGATTCCTGCATTGTGATGCTGCTCAGAGATAGTAAAAATGAATTAACTTCAGGAGTGTATCAATCATACGGGGCTGAACAAGACGACATGAAAAACACGATGATGTGCGTGTGGAGAGCGCTGCCAGCAATCTACAAATTCCTCAATTGGTCTCATGTGGCTGGTTGTCTGTTGTTCTTGTGTTGTCTTCCTGTTTTGCATTTTGCCCTGCCGGTAATGTGGGATTCCTGTCTCTACTAAGATTTTTGCCATTTCATAATTTTCTATTCAAAGCAAGGACGTATCATAGAAACACATACAATGCCATAACAACAGAGGAATTTATCCCTCTCTTGCTGCTCTTAATCTAATTTCTTCTTCTTCTTAAAACTGTAGTCAGCTGTTTAAATTGTTTCAAACCAGCTTGTATTACAAAGACTCGCTAACTGTTAATCTGGCCAATATTCAGTTTTTTAGCATTAGATAATGTGACAGTGAGGTGATCACATCCTATCTAATGACAGGTCAGCAGCAGTCAGCAAAGCCAAAACTGACTTATAGTGATTTATGACTCACAAATTGCTGCATCTCTAAACTTGCAGATGGGCTTCATTGTCAATCATCTTCTTTTAACTGGCTTCGAGCCTTTTTTATACCTTAGTGAATAAAAAGATGGTATCACTACTCTAAGTATTCATTTTGTCATGCTTTGAATAATTAAATAGTATATGTGCAAACATCATTGTGTTTTTCTGACTCTGTGTTGTCTAAAGTTGTCAGTTCTGCTGCTGGGTTTGTTTTATGGGATATCTCATTCTCCCTTCTGGAACATAAACCTTAAATATGTTGCAGATGGCGACTACCTTTTATGCGCGTTAACGAACCTGTAAAAGTGTTGGGATGCATATAAAAAGGAAAGAATGGGGAAGAAATTCATGAAGTTTCTGCAACATAGCTTTAATTTGAGAGTTAAGTAGCAGAAGCAGCAGACATCTCCATTATTGGACATGTCCAAATCCACTCATGCTAAATAAAGGGGCCACAAGTGGTGTTCAAGTTAATAGCTGAGGTCTTACAGTTATATGACCCCCCCCCTCCCCTTTTTTTTGTTCTTAACTATGTATGCAGCTGTTCCAGTAATTGTGTATTCTAAAATCAGCATTTTCCATTGTGTTATTTGGTTATATAAGTTCCTTTTAAGCCTGCAGATTGAATACACCTCTGAAATCAAGGCTGTTGTACGGTTTTCATTCTCTCCGAGGAATAGGCCAATCATAAAAAAGTCATACCTCAGTTTTCGGAAATGTTTCAGTGCACTATTAAATAACTTCTAGCAAGAAAGGAAAAAAGCTATGCACATCAGGCACTGTTGAACCTTGCTCATGTTTCATGCATTTTTGCAGTTAATAAAAAGAAATTACTGCAAACGGCTGCGTGCTGAAAGTACAATGAGAAACAGAGAAAGAAATCAAGCAAAAGACAACAAATATTTGAATATGTGTAATGGTTAACCTCATCACCACAATAAGCAGCATGGTACTGTTGATATATTCGCTTCACATTCTTCTGTCGGTTTCTTTGCACAGATCACGTGTGGTTCAGTGTTTACAGGCTGACAGATGTTGATTTCAGTTTCTTCCTAAAGTGAATAGAACAGTCTAAATGTTCCTCCTGAGGACACAGTGGGAATGTAAAACTGCGTTTGTGGAGCAAAGTTGCTGGCAAAAGATACTGGACCAGCAACATCCTGGATTAAGGCAGACTGATGGAGTAGTCACTCATTTGACAAAATAATCCCTTAAAGGGATTTGTGATCAAAGAAATTGTGATTCCACTTAGATCTCATGGATCACATGTTACACTGGCATTTTTTCTAATGCCCTCCTTGTTTTCTTCCCTGTCTTATATGACAGCTGCAGCTGAATGTGGTCAGCACATGAATGACAGTGCTTTCAGCGTTTTTGCCTGACTCATTGTTGAATCTCATCCAAAACCACCGTGTTGGTGCAGTGATTAGGTCTCTTTCCATCTCTAATCTCTAGCAGGTGGGAGGAACACTGAAGTCAGTGGGAAAATGTTGCACCCATGCTGAAATGGTGACCAATCAATGCATTTTAAAGCTGCTACCACATGGGAGAGAGTGTGGAAAGGATCTTCAGTTTGGAAATGTTTCACAGATGGCCTCCTATGTTGGTGAATGAGTTAATAATTTGAGAGCCTGGTGTAAAAGTAAAATAGGAGGCAGCCTTCAGCTTTCAGTGGAACAAACTCCCAGGCTGCATTTGGGAGACAGACACACTGTCTGCTTTTAAATTAAGCTCAAAGCTTTCCTTTTTGACAAAGCCCCTCCCAGAGCCTGGTTGAGCTGGAGGTTTCTTTCTGCTAAAAGGGAGTTTTTCCTTCCCACTGTCGCCACTTGCTGCTGTATTATTACAGTATCTCTACTTTACAATATAAAGCTCCTTGAGGTGACTGCTGTTGTGATGTGCTATATAAATAACATTGAATTGAAGCGAAATGAACTGCTGTATAGAACATTTTGGATCTGTTTAAGATAAAAAATGTAGCGTCTTATTCTCTTTGACATATTCCTGCAGCAACTCTGAACACATGTCCACACACATAAGAGGAAATAGAAAGAAACAGCTAAAAACAGCTTTTTCATATAGTCCCCATGTGTTTCAAATATTACAACATATTGTATTTAAAAGATTTGCGTTGTCCTGACTTGAACGCTGATGTGGTTGATTATGAAAGCTTATTGAAAGAGAACTGTAGTCCTCTACTTTGATAGAAATATTACTGGCCAAAATACAAGTGCTACAGTTTTCAATAAAACAGAGCTTTAGGATTACATCAATAGACATGTTTTTCCTTTTTTTTTTCCATGAGCTGATGTTTCATCAACAGCGGTTTCCCTTGAGAACTGGGAGGAAAAGCATGACATCATGTTTTCCCCTCCTTTTTAGTAACTCTGAAGGCAATTAAATCTTATCGCTGCACTCATACAACATAACGTGCTGTGGAATCAATTCAGACTTTAAGATTTTAACATCAGTGGGTCAGTGAGACACTATTAAATACAAAAGTATAAAAGTACACGTTGACCAAACATGTGACCAAACAACTCCACTTTGCTCTGGTCGGTTCAGAAAACATCGCTACAGAAGCCTTTGTGCAGATGCAGCTTTGTTAACTGAGCCTGTGCTGCTATGTTCATTTTAGAGAGAAGAGGCTTTCTCACAATAGCTCTTCTAAATAAGTTGTTTGGTCCTTTTCTAACTGTACTGTGATGAAATGTAACATTTAACTGAGGCCTGTAAAGTCTAGTAGAGGGTCATTGACACATAATGACACACTTATGACATTTTTTCTTAATTTTTCCACCGACTAATGACCAGATCATTTGTTATTACATTTTAATATATCTAAAACATTAGAACTAACAGAGTGTGTACTGTATTATTACTACTGTGGACCATTTATGTACTCTGGGTGACCTAGAATATTTCTCATGATATAGAAAAAAAATCTATGACTAACTCATTTATTTAGATTTGGGTCACACGTCACCTTTATAGCCTGTTTGTACTCAATGTCGGGTTTTTGCCTCAAGTTGTGAAAGCATCCTGCACTTTACTTGGAAGTACTTTATTGGAGGTTGTTAAAGTAGTTCCGTTTTTAGGAAGCAGACGTGCTCTTGCTCTCAGACATGCCTGGGCTTGTCCCCTTGTTGCATGCACTAGGGAACGTAAACGCATGGTGCGTAAAAATCGGTCTCGGCACTAATACGACAGATTGTTTTGAATTAGATATAAAAAAAGGTGGTAAGGTGGCAAAGACTACATTATTAAAATCAATAAATGACCTTTTTTTTCAAGGAGTATTTCATTCTGTGAAAGTAATAGTTTAAAGAAACTGTTGTGTACTTGAAGGCTTTCTTGGGGGGTATAATGCAAAGAAAGTTCAAGATTGTCAGGCTTTCTTAGTTTTAGCTTGCCTGAAAACACTTAAAACCCTCGTTAGTACAATTGTGTATAATTAGTTTTCTCTGTTAAACCCTAGCTTCTGCTTCAGGCTCTGTATACGCCCACATAAAACGGGGCGTCTGATGTCTAACTGCTGGCTCAGAGACATTATCAGAGGAAGGAGAAATTAATACAAATAAGGGAAGCACATAATGTTACAGAGGATTCATAATATTGTGAAGACAGTGTTAGGGTCATTACTCAAAAAAGGGTAATGCATTACCCATTACTCGTAAGATTTGTTAAAAGTAATGCAGTATGTTACTTAATTACTTGCCGGAAACAGTAATTTGTTACACTACTCTTTACATTTCTTTCTCTTCACTCCATAAAATGACCTCAAATGTACTGTCAAGTAATTCATTAGTAATTATTAACAAAGTGATATAAATCTGAGGCTTTATTCCTTTAGGGACTTTATCCTAAAGAGTATACAC